AACTTTCTACTTCTGAAATGTATTGATAATAAAAAGTGATTATGCAACTAGGAAAAGCAACAATGGAAGATGGTGGTAAAGATCAGTATTGGAAACGCCCCAATTTCAAAAAATGAAATGGAAGCTCTTATTACCAATCATGTGAAAGAATATGTTTTGACTAATATATGATGATAAAATTTTGCCGGGAAACCGCCTACTAATTGATATATTTAGTAAATTAGTTTATCTATTGGTGTGTGAGAGATAAACGCACGTGTCGCGCACGTGTGTGAAGTCCAATATACATCTTTCTGTGTGCAGTGCTTGTAACTTTACGAAGACTTGGCCAAATTTCTTATCATTTTGATGATTCCAGAACCTTGCAGTGCACACCAATACTTATATGCTAGATGATCAACATTTTCTGATCGATTCCACAACCTTTCTTTCACAATGCAGTCGCCTGACCATAACTGGCCTTTATCTTTAATGTAATCTTCTGCATGATGCAAATATATTATTGTGCTCAGGTACTGAGTTTTTGTGCTGTATTTGCTTTCCTGTAATTATAACTCTTGAGCAAATTCGTACAATATAATAACTTTCATTTATTGATGATTTTACATTGAGAAGTAAATAAATATTTAGAAAGTAAGCAGGAGAGAATGTCAGTCTACTGGAATACGTCTTGCCAATGAAATATATATATACCGTATTTCAATCTTGCCATTATTTAAAAAAAAAAGGTTTCGGTGGGCGCGGGTGTTGATTTTCATTTCAGAGGTAACTAGCTTTGAGGGCGAAGTCATGTAGCCTACTATATTGCCCAGGTGTTATCAATATGAATGTATCGAGGGCAATATGGTCTCTTCTAAACCGTGATAATGAGTTTTTGTTAATAATCATTATTGTTTTACTTTTTTTTTAATGATTAGTATTACATACATTATAGGCACATTGAGGCTTTAATCAGTGCTGATGTGCAAATTTTGATCTGTAAATATTGAATTATATACTTCGCATTGGTTTCTGTATAACTTCTAGTTAGGCACTTTATATCGCAACGGTCACTCGTTCAGTTTTTATGCAATATTACTTTCAGGACAAAAAATGACGTAGAATTTTTTTTTGATTAGATGTACACTCTTATTTCCACGGCGTCAAATTTCACTCTAAATGGCGTCAGCTGGGAGTCAACTCTATTCCTAGTTAAAGTGACACGGATTCCGAATCAATTTGACTCGGATTGCGTGGCATCAGCTGAGAATTGATTATTACCATCAATCTTGGATAACCTGTGAAACCAGTCGATAAAGGTGCTTAAAAGACCAAATAATTACTTTATTTATCACCAGCATCGGTTAACGGATAAAAAAACTCGTTGCTTGGACAAGTGGTTATTTGGTCATAAACACTTGATTTACAGAGGTAAGTGGAATCACGTTACTCCAGTCGCGTGACAAATTGGTGCTTTTTAGGTTAGATGAAAAACGTGAACAGGAGTACCTTTTTTGTTTAAATGAATTCACATGTCGATAACGTTTAAATCTAGTTCAAAAGGCAACATACTTTAAAATCACTTAAAATGCACTCCCGAATGAGGTTATTTTTTAGTGTTCTATGTATTGGGCTGTCTACTCAAATTATCTCCTTTTCCTTCCATACTTCTTTTCTTTTTTAACTCCTTCTTACCTTTCATCTCTTCTTCTTTATATTCTGTTTCTCCCAGACTCCCCTTCCTCCTCCTTCTCCTTCTTCTGCTCCTACTTCTTCTTTTTTTTTGTCTTCTTCTTCTTCTCCTCCCTTTCTTCTTCTTCTTCTTCTTCTTCTTCTTCTTCTTCTCCTCCTTCTATTTTTCTTCTTTTTGTTTTTCTTGTTCTTGTTCTTGTTCTTCATCTTCGTTGTCGTCGTATTCTTCTTCTTTCCTTTTAAAAAAACTCATTCTTGTTGTTCTTCTTGTGCTTGTTCTTTTTGTTCTTATTCTTGTTCTCTTTTTTTCTTTATCTTCATTTTCGTCGTCGTATTTGTATTCTTTCCATCTTTTTTCATTATTCTGGCTCATTCATATTGTCCTTTTGTCATAACGTCCACCTCTATTTCTTCCTCTTCGTTTTCCTCCTCTTACTCAGAAGAAAAAAAAAGGGATAACATAAATCATAAATTCCTTTTAAAAATCTAGAATGGCGGATTTGGTGACAAAGCGAGCTGAGATGAGTGCCCTGGTAAAGAAATTCCAATCATACAGAAATGACAGCATGGCTTACTCAAGAGATCACTTCGAAGTAAGAATTACTATCTTTCTTTTCATGTACACTTTTCCTTAACAAAATTATCATTAAGTATTGTCGTCATCTGTACCTGGGAGGCGAAAAGGAAACTGAATCACTGTAACCCTCAGGTCTCTCCTCCCGGAATATTGATTGCGGGTGTGCAAGTGGACCACTACAATGTGGTTCCCCCTACTCTCATACGAATAGTGCACTGGGCTCTTAACGTGCAAAGCTGGTGCTTCTCCTCTACACAGGGCCTCCATTTAACGTCCTATCTGAGGGACGTAGTGTTTTCCACTGGAAGATAGCCTGCATTTTTGAAACAGGGCAGAGGTACGTTAACACAACGCACCCGCCTGGGTTGGATTCGAACCCACGATCTATGGTTCGAAGGCAGACGCTTTACCTGAGCCAACGCGACTCCTTCTTTGCATACATTTTTTCTTTATAGTATTCTCTCTTTTTAAATATGATACTTTAATAGTTAACAATAAGAATCATCCGTAAGCATATAGTTCGGTGTTAAGAGAACCCTAGAATAAACATTATCAGCGTCATAACAGACTTAGATTACCTTTTCATTCCACAAAATAATGTCTAATTTTGCATGTGTACTGATGTCCATCAAATCGGATATTAGTAGCAGTATAAAAGAATAGTATAAACAATAAAAAGATATTTATGATAAAATGTTATTATTTTATACATAATTCTGAAGTGCTTGCACTTTTTAGAATTGCAGTAATTTTAGTAACAAGAAAAGTACCTTCATAAGAACGCAAAACTGTTTGAGAAGATGTTCACCTAAGAATTAAATAGAGAATTAAATGAATACAAATTACTTGGTTTAATTACTTGCTCTCACTCCCTCATTAAAACAAGTATTTTTGTTCAATTATGCTAAACAAGAGAGCTTATTTGTAGTGTTTCTCTTAATTGAAAGCACATTTTTTTTCATAACGTTAACTCGTTTTTTAAAGAAAAATAAACGTGAAGAGTGCTGTGAGTTACAGGGAAATCGACTAAACTTCTTCGAGAGTGTCAAACCTGATCACAATACGACTACCACTGTGGTGGAAGTCGAGAAGAGAAGAGGAACTAACATACTCATTCTAAGATGTGGACCCGGTGGTCGTACGGTTATATTCTTGGAATTTGACTCGAAGTAAGTAAGAGTTTATAGCATTATCATCTTCTTCTTCTCCCATCCCTTCTTCTCCTTTTCCCACCGCCATTGTTCTACTTCTTCTTCTTCGTTTCCAGCCTATTTAGAGTACCAATCTGTTTAAAGAAAGTATCTGAAAAAGAAAATCTCCGCCTCTAAATGCTAATAGAAATGAAAAACGTTGATTTGCGCGGTCTCTTTAGTGACATATGAATTACAGCAAAAAACAATAGATGGGCAATGTTTTATACTTAAGCGGATTAACAATAGTTGTGTGTTTATTCCATGGCCTATTAAGCCGATACAAGCTTTATCTAGGGGGTTTCCCCAGGCACCTAGGAGAAATGTTCACAAAGCAACAATAACGAAAAAGAAAAAATGAAAGAAAAAAGGCTCTCACATTTTTCAATGAACACAATCATAGTCAGTGGTAGAATATGATGAAATTGTATCTATTTGTATAATAATGTACTTATAAAGAGCTCTTTAAAAACCCATTCTAAGTTGAACTTCGCTGGACGAAAGCATTATAGTTATTTTTTAATCACCAAAAAATATCATAATTTAGAAACATATTTTGATAAGCCAAGGGGGAATGTTGATTTTAATATGTGCAATGTTCCATTGTAGGAGAGTAACAGACGAATGGCAAGAGGCACTCTGTCGATATACTGGCCAAACACATGTTCCTAACCCTGCCTTACCAAGAATAAAGTCTGAGCTATTGCCACCAGCTGTAGTGAGAAGGAAGAGGGACAAAAAAGCTCGATCAAACTTTCCTGATATCGTCGTTGAACAGGTCAGTGTAAGCAGGGGTGAGGCCAGGATTTTGTACATAGAACGGGGGAGGGGGCACAATTCAGAAATGAAAATTGGTTAAAAAAGAAAAATCTTTGACAATCAAAACTAAATTATTAGTTAGCAGATTAGACAGTTTCCTTATGAGTTAAAAATTTGAAAAGGATGGAAGCATTTTTCTTTGTGCAATCAAGATATACGATATTCTTCCTAAAGGAAATAGGGGCATGCTGCGGGCCAGTATTGCTCCAAAGAGTCCAAACCAAGCAGCGATGAATGTTAAAATAACAGGTTTGCCCAATGAGCTAGTCCTCTTGACTCACAGTTTGTTTCATAATTATTATAGTGAAAACCTAGTTTTCAGCTCATCTGATTTCAATGTTCGCTAGATTCTTTCTATTCTGCTGGTAAGAACAACATGACAATCACTAACAATTCAGACTTAATTCAAGTCAATTTCTCTGGAGTTAGTACTTCGTTCGTTCGTGCAAAGAATATCAGGGAGTACATCATCTAGATAGGAAGATCCTTATGAAGCCAACAGATTGTCTCATCATCGAGCTCACGAAGTCCGGAAGCGCCGTGGGGGGGATTTGTAGATCGGACAATCATCAATGACGTGATCCATAGTTTGGATCTCTCCACAGTCGCAGTTTGGTGATGATTCAGCTCCAATTTTATGTAGGAAATATTGTGTACGGCCAACTCCAGTTCTGATACGGTTTAGGTTGACCCAGGCTTTTCTTGGGAGGTCGCTGCCACTTGGTTTTGCACAGGGTTTTGGGATGAACTCTTTCAGGTTGGTAGTGGACAAGTTCCACTGGTCTGACCAGCGTTTTGCTATCCAAGTGGCTAAGGTGGAGGAGGGCTTCTCAGGCCGCAGCTCAGCAGCCTGTGTTGCAAAGTGTCTTCTAGGGAGACGCTGTCCTTCAAAGGTAGTACTTAAGACTAGATTGAAAAAAATATTGAATGTGTTCCCTTTGAAACAGGTTGATTCAGATTCTGAAGATTCTGAAGTTGAAGTTTGCTCGGAAACTCCGGAAGAAGCTCCTCTTGAAGCTCCCCAAGAAGCTCCTCTTGAATCTCACCGAGAAGCTCCTCCGATAGCTCCCTCGGAAACTCCCCAACAAGCTCCTCTTGAAGCTCCTCCAGCTCCTCCGCTAGCTCACCCGGAAGGACCCTCAGCTCCTCCAGCTCGACCACTAGCTCCCCACTCTCCACCGGGTTCACCGAGCGAAGAGCGAGTCCCCAGCTTTACCAGTGAGACGAGCGAGACAGATTCCCGCCATGGCAGCTTGCGATCACGTGATGCTGATCTCACGTTTGTAATTCTTATCAGTATAGGCCTACATATGAAGTTCAGTGGTCATGAACAATACTTTAAAAATACATGTGCATTTCGCATTGGATAAATCACTTTCTTTCAATGTTTCTGATGAATGTACAAAATAATAGTTGAACTTCATTTAAAATGAAAACATAAGTAAATATCGCACAGTGCATGCAGAAATATAATTCATTATATACAGTTGCATTTCCACGTAAATACAATGTAGAGTATATATGTAGAGTATACAATATAATCTAGTATTAATGATCAATTATATATTTTTTGTAGAAAACTGACATTATGTGAATATCTATACTGCGGTATCTATATAAATTAACATTACTCACGTCATATTGGTTCTTGTTTTATAATCTTGTATAGGTACTATGGCCCATTTGCAGCCAGCATCAAATTCTGTAGAACTTTGCAGGAATTATGAATATTTCACGTATGCCCTATCTATATATGAAATTTAAACGTTAACAGTGTCCTATTATTCAAATTATGCAAGGAAACCCGTTTTTCTTACTGTCTAGCTTTTTTCTTTGGTAATAACATAGATAAAAACGAGCTCTAAAGTCGTTTCGACAACTGATGCTCGTTTTTCTCCACTAAAAGACTTTTTCGAGCCGTCTCGTTTTGAGGGAAGTTCTTTAGTATCCTTTTTTCAAATACAGTTGGAATTTATCATTTTCATTTTTTGACCTGCAAATGAGACATGGTACCTTTAACAGATTGTAAAGGCCTACCGTATATGTAACTCGCCTTCATCTGTTTGTTACCACCTCTCTCTCTCTCTTGTTTTTGTCCTCTTTGTATACCTTACCCATGTATTATCCGTTATCTTTATAATTGTTTATTTTATTTATCTGTTCTCTCTCTCTCTCTCTCTCTCTTATTAGTCCAACACTTGCAGACTTAGCCAAGAACTCGGTAGAGAAAGAGTTCAACCTTTCAGATCTGCAACAACTCAAAGTCGAGGACTGTAGAGGCGATGTTATGTAAGTAAGGCCCCTTTCATACTGCACCAGAGCAGATCAAGTCCAAGGTTACCTAAATAAAAATGAAGTTTGAATGACCCCTTTAAATACACGTTGTGGTTCTGGTTGTTGTTGTGGTTGTTATTGTTGTTATTGTTTTTTGTATTATTATTATTATTAGCAGTAGGAGTGTAGGCAGCAGCAGCAGCCGCAATATTATTAGTACATTGAGTAGTAGTTGCTCTCGTTGTTGTTCTTGTTTATTGTTGTTGTAGTTTTATCATCATCATAATAATAATAATAATCATAGGAATTATATATATAACGACGAGGATGAGTTACAAGTGAACATTAGTTTGTAAGCTAACATTTCCAATTGTTAATAACAATGTTACATGAAATTAAACTTAAAATTGCTCTTGAAGTACTCTCAAATTTAAAATATTAGTTTTCGAAAATATTACATACATTTGTGCAGTTCTGTGAAACTATATTTGTGTTTTTGTGTTTGATTATTCAATTTGTTATAAAGGTTTGTTATAATTAGAAATGTATATAGGCCTATATATATATTATATAGTTCGGCATACCTAATTAGGTTTTACACATTTTTTTTTGGTTCAATTTATGCTTATGATTATGGAGTGTGAAGGATGTAATTCCTCTTGGGCAGCTATATGTTGGAGACAAAATATTGTTGAGGAATGCCCGAGGCCTAGCGATGAACGCCAGAGAATTGATCGAGCACATCCGAACATCGGTTCGTAATATTTGTCAACATTCGTCATGATTTTATGCTTAAATCTTAAGCCACAAATTAATAGTTAGCAGATTAGACAGTTTCCTTATGGGTTGGGAATTTGAAAGGGATGGAAGCATTTTTCTTTGTGTACTCAAGATATACGATATTCTTTCTAATGGAGGCAGGGGCATGCTACGGGCCAGTAATGCCCCCCAACTCACCAGCGATGAATATTAAAATAACAGGTTTGCCCATTGGGCTAGTCCTCCGGACTCAGATTTCGTTTCATAATTATGAAGTGAAGACTTACTTTTCAGCGCATCTGAATTCAATGTTCGCTAGATTCTGTCTATTATGCCCTCCAGAAAAAACATGAGATCAATACAAATTCATAGTTAATTGAAGTCAATTTCTCTGGAGATAATTTTTTTTAAAATACCGAAGACTAGATTGAAAAAATTAATAAATGTGTTCCCTTTGAAGCAGGTTGATTCAGATTCTGAACAGGATGAAACTCCACCTGAAGGTCTCGAAGAAACTCTTCCAGCTCCTCCGGTAACTACCCCGGAAACTCCCCAAGAAGCTCCTCTCGAAGCTCCCCAAGAATCTCCTCTTGATGGTCGCCAAGTAGCTCTTCCAGCTCTTCTGGTAACTACGCCGGAAACTCCCCAAGAAGCTCCTCTCGAAGCTCCCCAAGAAGCTCCTCTTGAAGGTCGCCCGGAAGTTCCTCCAGCTCGACCAGTAGCTACCCCTTCTGCACCGGGTTCACCGATCGAAGAGCGAGTCCCAAGCCTTACCATTGGGACGAATGAGACAGACGATTGTGATGATGCACAAAATGATTCCGGTCCTGGACGCTTGCGATCACGTAATGTTGATCTCAGGTTTGTAATTCTTATCAGTATACATATGGAGTTCAGTGGTCATGAACAATACTTTAAAAATACATGTGCATTTCGCAATGAATAAATCACTTTCTTTCAATGTTTCTGATAAATGTACAAAATAATAGTTCAACCTCATTTAAAATTAAAACATAAGTACATATCGCACAGTGTATGTAGAAATATAATTCATTATGTACAGTTGCATTTCCATGTAAGTACAATGTAGAGTATACAATGTAGTCTAGTATTATTGATCAATTATATATTTTTGTAGAAAACTGACATTATGTGGATATCTATACTGCGGTATCTAAATAAATTAACATTACTCACGTCATATTGTTTCTTGTTTTATAATCTGTTAAATGTACTATGGCCCATTTGCAGCCAGCATCAAATTCTGTAGAACTTTGCAGGAATTATGAATATTTGACGTATGTCCTATCTATGAAATTTAAACGTGAACAGTGTCCTATTATTCAAATTATGCAAGGAAACCCGTTTTTCTTACTGTCTGACTTTTTTTCTTTGGTAATAACATATATACATGTAGATACAATGAGCTGTAAAGTCGTTTCGACAACTGATGCTCGTTTTTTCTCCACTAAATACTTTTTCAAGCCGTCTCGTTTTGAGGGAAGTTCTTAATTAGTATCCTTTTTCAAATGCAGTTGGAATTTATCATTTTTAGTTTTTGGTCTGCAAATGAGACATGGTACCTTTAACAGATTGTAAAGGCCTATATGTAACTCGCCTTCATCTGTTTGTTACCACTTCTCTCTCTCTCTCTCTCTCTCTCTCTCTCTCTCTCTTTTTTGTCCTCTTTGTATACCTTACCCATATATTATCCTTTATCTTTATAATTGTTTATTTTATTTATCTGTCCTCTCTCTCTCTCTCTCTCTCTCTCTCTTATTAGTCCAACGCTTGCAGACTTAGCCAAGAACTCGGTAGAGAATGAGTTTAACCTTTCAGATCTTGAACAACTCAAAGTCAGGGATTTTACAGGCGATGTTATGTAAGTAAGGCCCCTTTCATACTGCACCAGAGCAGATCAAGTCCAAGGTTACCTAAATAAAACCGAAGTGTGAATGACCCCTTTAAACACACGTTGTGGTTCTGGTTGTTGTTGTGGTTGTTATATGTTGTTATTGTTTTTTGTATTATTATTATTATTAGCAGTAGGAGTGTAGGCAGCAGCAGCCGCAATATTATTAGTACATTGAGTAGTAGTAGTTGCTCTCGTTGTTGTTCTTGTTTATTGTTGTTGTAGTTTTATCATCATCATAATAATAATAATAATCATAGGAATTATATATAAAGACGAGGATGAGTTTCAAGTGAATATTTGTTTGTAAGCATATCATTTCCAATTGTTAATAACAATGTTACATGAAATTAAACTTAAAATCGCTCTTGAAGTACTCTCACATTTAAAATATTAGTTTTCAAAAATATTATATACATAATACATTCGTGTAGTTCTGCAAACCTATATTTGTGATTTTGTGTTTGATTATTCAATTTGTTATAAAGGTTTGTTATAATTAGAAATATTTATATATAGATATTATATAGTTCGGCATACCTAATTAGGTTTTATACATTTTTTTGTTCAATTTATGCTTTTAATTATGGAGTGTGAAGGATGAATTTCCTCTTCGGCAGCTACATGTTGGAGACAAAATATTGTTGAGGAATGCCCGAGGCCTAGCGATGAACGCCAGAGAATTGATCGAGCACATCCGAACATCGGTTAGAAATATTTTGTCAGCATTCGTCATGATTTTATGTTTAAATCTTAAATCACTTGTTCATTCTATGTGCATGTTCTCCTTTTCATCTTCCTACCCCATTTTCTTCTTGTTCTTGTTTTTCTTGTTCTAGTTCTTCTTCTTCTTGCTCTACTTCTACTTCCACTATTACAAATAAGAGAAATGTTATTATTTTGCTGATTACTGAATGCTCTTTATAAACAAATATCTTTTTTAATAATCTACTTGCCTATTTCAAGGATACCTATATCATTATAATGACATATAGGCTTGAATATTTCCTTCTCAAATATTTAGATAGTTCTTACTCTTGAACGAGGCGCTGTATGTACTGCAAGAGAGGAAGGAAATGAACTGGCCATCAATATAAAAGGATCCCAGGTATGTATATATCATACTTGAAATTATTGGATGTTACTTCCTACCATGAATGAATAAACGTCAGTTAATAAGTCGATATACAGAATCAATAACCAGGTATCATATTTGTTTATACATCTATTTTACAATGTGATTACAAGAGTACTGGTTTAAACTACAGCCTCTATGTGAATAAATGTGTTCTTTATTTTATTTATTTAGCTACGATGAATATACAACATTCATTAATTTGTATTAATTATATTTTACTTTTTAATCGAGATCGTCTTTTTTATTTACTACTGAGAAGATAACCACTGAGAAGAGGCATGAGTAGTTATAATCTTACTGCTTATTAGAAATGAATTTGCTTAGAAACGCCTCATTAAAGCTACACTGATGCCACTTAAGCTGACATAATCTTGTCTTACTTCTCATGAAATGATTGTGACAATATGATAACATGTTTATGTCTTCCCAGGACTGTAGTGATCAATCTCTATGACTCGTTAGGTTGATCAATGAAGTTCTGAGAACATATCAACTTTATGAGTCAATAATAAAACATTTCATTAAAAGATGTAATACAAAAAAAAAAATCAATTTGATGGGCCATTATGGGCAACAATGTTTATTAGTTTTGACCAAATTTGATCCTTTCATGGTGGCATTTTTTCAACCTTTTGCTTCCTCGACGTAACACAGACGGTTAGACTGGACACAGTAGATCTGATTCGCAGAGCCTGTACGTCGCATTGTTCTCTCCCTAATGCTGAGATGCCAGAGATATCCAACCTCACCATCACAGAGATTAACAACATCCCCGTCGCCATCGGCTCTCAACCAGACCAGGTAATTTCGATATTATCATAAGATATTCGTTGCACTATCAAGGATAAATCAGACTACCACTTCAACAACAAAAAGATATATACATTTACTACCCGCTGGGCATAAATCCGAGAATGAAAATCACCAAGATCCCAAAACAAATCACCCAACACAACCCATAATTCACATCCAAATATCCTGTGATGAAGAGGGGGGGGGGGCACATCATTATGTTAAAAGGTTTAAACTTAACTATCCCTTTAGTGGACTGTCAGTGTTTACTTTCCTTCTAAAAATGAATTTATTCTAATTTAATTTTGTTTTAGGGGAGAGGGTTTGGGGTTGCCACGCGCCATCTACAAAATGAAATAGGCCTTTTTTGTTAAGGCTATCTTTTAAAATCTTCGTAAGTGATTGTTTTTCCGATTTTGGGACAATTTTAAATTAGTTGGCAAATCCTATATGAATATCGCGGGACGCTTTTTTGGACCACTTTCAGTTAATTTCACAATATCAAGACTTTCATTGTTTTCTTATTGGAAAATTTTCGTAGAAGTTGTCAGTGAATTGACCCCCGGCCCCTTCAAAATGTTCTGGCAGTGCCTTATTTTTTCTGGTTGGTTTATTTGTCTGTAGATTGCAGGGAGTATGAGAGAAGCCCTGGAGACCTCAGGAGGAAATTTAACGCTTCATCTTGTTCCACAGTCGTTGCTAGACGCTTTGGCCGAATAGGACGATGATACACACGAAGAGCAAGCACGTGATATAGTGGATGAATAGCATTCCACTTTTAAAAATCAATCAGATCCTTCTTCGAAAACTAGAAGATCTTCATTCTAATCCCAGAAGATCTTCCCTCTCAAACTTGGAGATCTTTCTTCTAAAGTTAGAAGATCTTTCTTCTACAGGAGCTGTCTGTACACCAGGGAACAACGTTTAGCACTCGTATGCTGGTGTTCTATGGCAAGCGTTTAATGCCATGAAAGTTAAAAAATTGATTTGTAGATAGCATAGCATACGGAGCAATGCCCTATATGTTGACTCAGCGCCTCTCCAAGAGACATGCTGGATATAATGATTTCCCTTCTGTTTCTGCGATCTTGGAGAACAAGCAACCCATCACTCAACATCTTAGAATCGGTTCAAGAGAAATACGAAGGGTTCTCAATTTGGCAATGAATATGGTTTGTTACAATTTTTGTTTAGCTTTGATTTTTGTAGGGTTGCATTGTTATTTTAGCGCCCCTATATAAACTTGATGGCGGACATGTTTAAGCGCTATGTAATTGCAAAGAAATAATTTGCGAATGGTATTGTTTAGAGTCCATAAGGCATCTTGTAACCATGTAACCAAATAAGTAGACAAGGGAAAGTTTATAACTTTGTTGAGTAATTGGTATTATTAATGAATATCAGATGTAATATACATGTTCAATAACACGCTATTTAAGGAAACCAGTGTAATTCACAAGCAGTGGAAAATTAGAAATAAAAAGCATCGAAAAATGAAATAGAGGAAGTTATATCTTCGATCATGGTTTGACTTTAGTTGTAAAGAAAAATGACCAACAAAAAAAACCCGACACTGATTAAGAGATTACAAGTTGGGATGAATTGAATAACTCTATAAACACGGTTGGAATTCTTTGGTTATACTGATTTGTTTTAAATGAACAGTTTAACATAACACTTTGTCCTATTGAATGAAAAAAACTATGTCTCCATTCAGCTGAATAATTCCAATGGACTATATCGTCATATCATATGAATCGCGAATTGTATTGAGTGTTGAAGGCTTTGTTTTTGTATGTTTATGGTTCGGAACATATGTATTGTTAAATATCAGATGTAATGTACATTTTTAATAATACTCTAGACGGAAACCAGGGTAATTCTCAAATAGAATCTTAGTCTTGATTGGCTAGGGGAGTGAAGGCAAATTTAAAACATAAAGCCGGTTGAGAGGTTTTCACGAAAGATCTAAGTACTACTATGTGAGGAAAACTGGGTTTTCAACAAATTGTAAGTGTTTAGGAAATTATTGGGGATTATGTTTTCTCCCATATCCATGCTTAAACTAATACTCAAAGCATTTTAATGTTGTAGGTGTATTCAAAATGGGTGTAAAGAGACTATTCAGTCGGTGTTATCATTGGATTCTTAACATGCAAACAAGCCTGACATCACCCCGTATTTTCTCTATAAAGTTCATTATGCATAGGAATGAGGGGGTCTATATTGGCATTTCCTTTTTTGTTTGTTCAAATGTTGTACATAATTAGATGATTAGATGTACCTGGATACCACAAATGTGATAATTTTGTTGATACAAAGGTTGTGGAGATATTGAGCTGATTTCAGGTGTGTACATACTTCTTTCCTAGTTTAACACAAATGTCATAACAATATGTGTTAAAGAGTACTATTCTTGTATTATTTACTGTACTTCTTCTTCAGGAATAGTAAAGTCTATATCATTTATACATGTACGCAGAGGTGTAAAGATCATATTGAAAGGGAATGAATGATATACTGCCTATCAATTTATGGAAAGAAAACTTGATCTAACCTTAAATGTCTACTTATAATTCATATAAGAACTTCACACTGTAATAATTTGCATACCGTCACTCTAAAACCCTTTTCATGGTTTTGAGTATTCTGTCTATTATATTCTTATCTTGTAATTACAATAAAAGCGTATATATTCTAGAATAATTTTCCTAAATTGCCTTTAAAAATGATTATTTTGGTGTTAGCATAATTATGTAAGAATTTTGATGGTAATGTACACAGAGCTGAGAAATAAACATGTGCCTCGTTAGAATAAGGTAAGAATAACTGGCTAACACGGTGATGATTAAAGATGAAGTTGAGTTCTGGTCATGCGATTGCATTGTGAAAGATACGGTGTGGAATCGATCAGAAAAGGTTGATCATCTAGCATATAAGAATTTGTGTGTATTGCAAGGTTCTGGAATCATCAAAATGATAAGAAATTTGGCCAAGTCTTGGTAAAGTTACAAACACTGTACACAGAAAGATGTATATGGGACTACACGAACACGTGGCGTAAAAAGCCGCCCCCCGATTTTTACGATGTTACATGCATATTTAGAATATGAAGGCATTTGAAGAGCCATGCTTTTCAGTGAACGTGTCTTATCTGATGTTCTTCCACACTTGCATAATAAGAATGAGTAACGCTCACAAATTATCTTTCACCTCTTCCCAGAACTCAACCTTCTCTTTAAGAAAAGAGTAGTGGGAATAGTGTGTTTGTGCGTGTGTGCGTTTGTGTGAATGTGTGTGTGTGTGTGAGAGAGAGAGAAAGAGAGAGAGAGAGAAAGAGAGGGGAATAGAGAGAGAGAGAGAAAGAGAGAAAGAGAGAGAGAAAGAGAAAGAGAGAAAGGGGAGAGAGAGAGAGAGAGGGGAAGAGAGAGAGAGACAGACAGACACATAGGAAGAAAGAGAGAAAGAAAGAACGGAAGAAAGAAAAGAAAGAAAGAAGAAAAGGAGAAAGAGGAGGATGAAGTCGCCTAAAATTACAACAGTAGCACAACAATGCAAATAAAAACTCCTTTTGTATTTACATAATTATCATCTTGATGTATTATGGCTTTTTTATTCTCAAAATAATTATTACAAAAAAAAGGAATTTTATAAAGGAAATTCTTAAATAAGATTAGGCGAGGGCGAGGGATGGAGACATCCCACTTCAACAAACAAAATACATACATTATACATACAAACAAACAACGTTTTTTGTTTGTACATCTATATTCAGGGCAATACTTTTTGTCAACAAATGATTTCAAATTTCCAAAGTTCAATTACCTCTAGCGATGAGGTATGCTACTGTATATTTAATCACGGTCTGGTACATCCTCGATATGATGTCTGGTTGAAAACGATTCCTTATGAAACACACAATAGACTATTTTTAGACCATGGCTTCTATCCTTTGGACTTAGAAAAATCATTGGTGTGCGTAAATATGTAATCCTCGCAAGTCACGACATGTATGTTTATTATCTTCCTATAATCGAACAATTTACGTCAGTCAAACCACAAGGAAAGTATATATAAACAATGATGATGAAAATTGTGTGCCAATAAATTGATATGTTTGGTTTTCCTACACAATCCGCCCACTCGTAGACACCTCTAAATATCCTGCCTGCATGGACAGGTGTTGTGCAAAGATTCCAGGTAAAGTCCTTCGATATACAAAGCTAGGGTTATAATTTCCAAAGCTCTTATAAAGATGTTATTTCATAACGTATTATGCGCTATATTATTATTACATGAAGACAGTAGTGGGAAAAATCAGCATATTGATTATTTATTCACATGTGTATATGTAATACCCAACCAGTCAATACCTTTACATCATGGCCAATCTTGTGATAAATCAGGAAACAAAAAAAGTGGCCGAGCGGGCCTTGGCCCACTCCCCTGGCAACAAAAAAAAAGTTAAAAAAGAAAAAAAATTGTTACCAGAAATTTACCTTATTTTGTTGTTGCTAACATAATTAACTATAAACAAGGTATATCTTACAAAATATAAAACATCACTTAAAAAAAATTAACGATAGATATTTATGAAAGAAAGGGAAAACAAGCATAAAAAACAAAAGCGATGATATGCGCAATTTTCGGGTCTTTCCCTCCGCGTTTTATATCTGCGACTCTTGCTCCTTCACACAATGGCAGAGTTTTCCCCTATTATTTACGATTAAAAAATGCCAACAAAAGAAAAATAAATATTCGATAAAGTACCCCTCTAACCCATTGCAAACCTCTATGTCAATAGACTTTTCCTTCACTACTGATCCGTTAAACGAAAACAAGAATATTTTTAATATTTTGAGAATCCCCTAATTTTCTACCGATTTCACAATGATTTTCTTTGATTTGATCCCCTGGCAGGAATACATTGCTTCGAAAAGCCTGACCAAGTAGACTATCATTGTAAGAACTTTAGACCGTTAATGAAGGACAAAAATAAAACTTCGTTTAGATACGAGGCGATAAACCGCTGCGGTTTATTTTTACTTTTTTATATTACCTTACGCTTTAAACATTATATATCATTATGAATAATCTACACACATTTGTTAATGGTTGGGCTATTTCATATACACCTACCCCATTTTAACCCTACCCCTCCCTGCTCAGAAAACATGAAATTCTCTCACATAATATTTTCGATTGTTGTGTGAAAATAGTTTCTTTCAGAAACAATGTGTTGAACTCATGCATTCATAATTGTTTTTTCCTCACGTTATTTCATGCAGTGGCATGAGTTTTTCTCACTACTAAGTTGTTTGGCATCCGATATAGCAATACGATTCCTTCCTCAACATCATGGATCAGGTATCAACTTTGCGAATAGTTTGCATTTTGGGGGAAATTATGTGATTTTCTTTCTTCGATTGTTCATACCAGGGATTTTGAAAAATTGGAATTATAACCTTGTCTAAAATTAATACTATTGAGGCTACATATTAAATATATTAATTCTCCCCCCCCCCCCACCCGCTCACTGCACGTGAATACTTCTTCTTGTAAACTACCGTACATTCTGTCTTTTTTTTTTTTTTAGGTTACTACTGTTCCCTAACCACAACCTACCATCATGATCATACTTACTTCTTTAATTGCGAGAGCAATAGTACCAACTAAAGGTGAAATTATGGAAGAAATATATCCACTAAACATTATTCTGATTGTTCTTATGACGGTTGCTCTAGTAATGATTCCTTTCATCATTTATAAAATAATCTATTTGGCACAATCTAAGCTCATGAGTCGTAGGATAACGAAAAGAAAAGGAGTTGCAGAAACAACATATGTGTAAGTGGGAGGGCGTGCATGTTTAGCTGATGAACATAAACCTAGAAAACAAATAAAACGGTTTGATACTGTGATCTGATGATGAGCTAAATATGATTCCTTGCTTTTCATAATAAAACATTTGTAGAAGTTGCGTAGCTTGAATTAAAGGTCCCCATTACTGTCCTCCTTTTGAGGAATTTTGCAAAGGCTGAGACAATTTTTCAAAAAATGGCCTCATATTTACTCAAAAGATTAGTCAGAAGACGTTTTTAAAAGTATATGGAGATACTGGGGTCAAGAATGACTATCATTTGATAAAAGTATTAAGTATATAAAGCTGTAGTAGACATTTTATATCACATTCTGCTGGAGCTTTCTGTATTTCATTTACTCTCTGTCTGTCCAACTGATTAATTTTCATTGTATTGAGGATTCCAGGCTTTTGTTATATTATGTTTACTGTTTGGAAAATATGTATTGTTGAATATCAGATGTAATGTACATTTTCAGTAATATTCCTAAACGGAAACTAGGGTAGTTTGCAAGGTATTAAAAAAATAAAAATGAAAAAATGAAAATTACAATCATTTTCAGAACAGGCATTTAGTCGATTGGCTGACTGAAAACCCGCCAATCAGGATCTGCTTACACAGACGATGGTTTGATACAAATAGAAACTTCATTTTGATTGGCAAGGGGAGTGAATGCCGATTGAATACATACAGCGGATTAAGAGTTTTCACAAAAGATCAAAGAACTGCTATGTGAGAAAAGCTGGGTTTTCAACAACTTGTTAACTGTTTTGGGAAACTATTGCGGAATTTAATCCCATATCCATGCTAAAGCTAATCCTTAAAGTAAATCTCTATCCTTTAATCAACATAGAATTTGTTACGTTGTAGGTTTGCTTTAATACATGTATTCAACAGGGTGTGAGGAGACTATATATTCGGTAGGTGTTATTTATCTCAGATGTTTTCACTTAATACTTTGATAAATAGTTGCAGGAAATAGCAGTTTCTGTTTTTAAATAAATGTATTTTTTTAAAGTGTGTGAGGAGACTATTCAGTCGGTGATATGTATCTAATATTTTTTGTTATCCTAGAATTCTATAGATAGTCGCAGGAAAAGACAGTGTTTTACAAATACAATGATACGAAAGCCCTCATATTTACACAAAAGATTATTCAGATCATGTTTTTAAAATTCTATGGAGATACTGGTGTAAAGAATTATTTTCTATTGATAGAAATATTTTGTATATAAAGTTGTAGTAGACTTTTTATATCTCATTCTGCCGGAGCTTTCTGTAATTCATTTTACTCTCGGTCTGTCCAATTTCACGATCATTAGAAAACCACTGTAAAGATCTATTGATTTTCATCTTCTTCTTTCAGTATTATCATTGGATTCTTAACATGCAAACAAGCCTGACATCACCCCTATAAAATATATTATGCATAGAAATGAGGGGGTCTATATTGGTATTTCCTTTTGTTTTGTTCAAATGTTGTACATACCTAGATGATTAGATGTACCTGGATACCACAAGTGTGATAGTTTTGTTGATACACAGATTGTTGAAGTATTGAGCTGATTTCACGTGTGTACATAATTTTATTCTAGTTTAACACAAATGTCATAATCTTATGTCTTAAAGAGTACTATTTTTGTATTATTTACTGTACTACTTCTTCAGGAATAGTAAAGTCTATGTCATTTATACATGTAGGCAGGGGTGTAAAGATCATATTGAAAGTGAATGAATGATATACTTCATATTAATCTATGGAATGAAAACTTGTTAACAAATTAAATGTCTACTTATAATTCATATAAGAACTGCATGGAGAATTACGTGATAAAACCTATCCTCATTTTGTAATAATTTGCATACCGTCACTCTAAAACCCTTTTCACGGTTGTGAGTATTCTGTCTGGCATATTCTTATCTTGTAATTACAATAAAAGCGTATTATATTCTTGAATAATTTTCCTAAATTGCCTTTAAAAAATGATTATTTTGGTGTTAGCATATGTAAGAATGTTAATGGTAAAGTGCACAGAGATGACAAATGTATATGTGCCTCGTTAGAATAAGGTAAGAATAACTGTCTAACACCGTGATGATTAAGAAAAAAGTAGTGGGAATAGTGTGTATGTGTGTGTGTGTGCGTATGTACGTGTGCGTGTGTGTGGGTGTATGTGGGTGCGTGTTCTTTTAAGTGCGTGTGTGTGTGTGTGTGTGTGAGAGAGAGGGGGGAATAGAGAGAGAAAGAGAGAGAGAGAGAGAAAGAGAAAGAGAGAAAGGGGGAGAGAGAGAGAGAAAGAGAGAGGAAAGAGAGACAGACAGATATACAGGAAGTAAGAGAGAAAAAAAAAGAACGGGAGAAAGAAAAAAAAAAGAAAGAAAGAAGAAAAGGAGAAAAAAAAAAGTTTTTTGTTTGTACATCTATATTCAGGGCAATACTTTTTGTCAACAAATGATTTCAAATTTCCAAAGTTCAATTACCTCTAGCGATGAGGTATGCTACTGTATATTTAGTCACGGTCTGGTACATCCTCGATAATATGTTTGGTTGAAAAAGATTCCTTATGAAACACACAATAGACTATTTTTGGACCATGGCTTCTATCCTTCATTGGTGTGCGTAAATATGTAATCCTCACAAGTCACGACATGCATGTTCTTTATCTTCCGTATAATCGAACAATTTACGTCAGTCAAACCACAAGGGAAGTATATATATAAACAATGATGATGAAAATTATGTGCCAATAAATTGATTTGTTTGGTTTTCCTACACAATCCGCCCACTCGTAGACACCTCTAAATATCCTGCCTGCATGGACTGGTGCTGCGCAAAGATTCCAGGTAAAGTCCTTCGATATACAAAGCTAGGGTAATAATTTCCAAAGCTCTTATAAAGATGTTATTTCATAACGTATTATGCGCTATATTATTATTACATGAAGACAGTAGTGGGAAAAAATCAGCATATTGATTATTTATTCACATGTGTATATGCGATACCCAACCAGTCAATACCTAAAAAAAGTTTAAAAAAAAAAAAATTGTTACCAGAAATTTATCTTTTTTTGTTGTTGCTAACATAATTAACTATAAACAAGGTATATCTTACAAAATATAACACATCACTAAAAAAAAAAATTAACGATAGATATTTATGAAAGAAAGGGAAAACAAGCATGAAAAACAAAAGCGATGACATGCGCAATTTAAAAGAACATTTTCGGTTCTTTCCCTCCGCGTTTTATATCTGCGACTCTTGCCCCTTCACACAATGGCAGAGATTTTCCTATTATTTACGATTAAATATGCCAACAAAAGAAAAACAAATATTCAATAAAGTACCCCTCTAACCCCATTGCAAACCTCTATGTCAATAGACTTTTCCTTCACTACTGATCCGTTAAATGAACACAAGAGTATTTTTAATATTTTAATATTTTCTACCGATTTCACAATTATTTTCTTTGATTTGATCCCCTGGCAGGAATAAATCGCGTTGATAAGCATGACCAAGTAGGATATCATTGTAAGAATTTCAGACCGTAAATGAGGGACAAATTAGATGAAACCTCGTTCAGATACGAGGCAATAGGCCTACAGCGCTGCGGTCTATTTTCAGTTTTTTTTATATAACCTTACGCTTTACACATCATTATGATTACTCTACACATATTTTGTAATGGTTGGGCAATTTCACATCCACCGACCATAATATGGTAGGTATTATAATAATATATATACATATATTATATATAATAATATGGTAGGTTAACATATTATGTTAACACCCCCCCCCCCCCCCATTTAATTAGATGGACTTGCGCAAATCTTCTGTAATTTCTGCTACGTTATCGGACCCAACTGCTCTTCCATCTTTAATTCTGTGCAAAATTACTCTCTTAAAAAAAAGAGAGTGAATTTTCACTCTATTTTCACTTTCTTGGGAGTGACGTCCGTGATCACTTTTTTTAGGAGTGAAAATCGATTGATTTTAGAGTGCTCTCTAAGAAGAAAAGAGTGAATGTTTACTCTATTTTCACTACATTTTCACTCTCCAGTGGAGTGACGTCCGTGATCACTCGATTTTTTGTTTAGAGAGTATGCCATCCTTATTTCATCTTCTATGATAGAAGGTCCATCCATGGGTTTCTCTTTAGCAGGTCTAAATGATAATTCAGCCTGATTAGATCACATTATGGAATAAAGTAATTGCTTTTTTACTACTTGTATTAAAGCTGTCTTTTTTTAAAATTCATTTTGTATCGTTGGTAATGATTTCAGATATTTTATACATAGATTATCATAAATCCAGGTGCTAAGCTAACATAGTTAAACGAGAATACCACAAGATATGTTTATGAATTAATAATCTCATAAAGGATACCAGTTTTATTGATCATCTTTCTCTTTTTGCAAGATCAGGTAATTCTCTGTCGAGCATAATTTGGTGCGAGGGGCGGGGAGGGGCTGCAGCTTAAAAACAAGCTGTCCCTCGCCATGGCTGTTTGAGGAATACTGGTTATCTGACGAGTTGTCGGTAGAGTTTGATACAAAAACGCCCTCGTGTTCTAGAATTTCTCTATACACTCTTAATGTCAGCGAGTAAATTGTGCCGAGTAAAACAAGTTGAGTAACAAAATGAGCAATTCAGTACTCAAGCTGGAGTAAGACCTTGATTTTAGTGGTACTCGTCACCCGAGTAATTTGTTACCTTCGATAAAGAGTAAATCAATGACTCAACATTGAGTACGAATTTCGTTTGTATCAATTTTGAGTAAACTACGGTTGGGTATTACGCTGCGGCAGGTGATAAATAAATCAACATTGATCTCTTACCCGAATTTACCTCGGGTGCGAGTGAAAGTTGGATCGATGGAAAGTGCAACTAGCTGTCAATATGCATGTGACACCTGTTCTACACATTTTTACATAATAGCAGCTGTATGTTCCTTTGTCTACCTAAGGAACTGGATATTTTGTACTCTTTCATTGTCCGTCATGTGCATGTCTCGTGCATAGTGACACGACATTTGCTCCTGCGACAATTGCTCCGGGCTTTATTTCGTCTAAGATGTAGGGTTAGGGTTAGGGTTTCAATAGGGTTTTATGTTAGGTTTAGGGTTAGGTTTAGGGTAGGGTATAGTGTTGAATCCAGGGTTGAAGTTAGCCATTCGATTAGTGTATGAAATTTACAGCGGAGCAATTGTCGCCGGAGCAAATGTCATGGAATCCTCGTGCATGCATGTGCGCGTGCAGAAAGATGCGAAAGAACTGAGATACACTCTTAGAAAAAAGGGTGCAAAAAAGGGTGCAAAATAAGAGTTTGCACCCTTTACATAAAAATGAACCCTATTGAAGGAAAAGGGGTTAAAAAAAGGGTGCAATATAAGATTTTGCACCCTTCCCACAAAAATGAACCCTATCGACCAAAAGAGGGTGCAAAATAAAAGTTTGCATATTGCATGCATATTCATGATTACTTTCCACGTGTTCACATAAAAATACATTTATCATGATTTGTTAAGCAAATTATGACAATGCACATCAATTTTTTGATTTTGTATTTTCCTTTGGCAATCATTAACCAATATATTATTTTGTCTGATCATGTTACAATTACATTCACGTTTTAGCAATAGATATATTGATTATATGATTACTAACCAAGAAACATCATGCATGTTTAATATGTATTTGTGTACGAGCAAATTTTACCAGTATTCCTCGATGATGGGTGCAGGATTGCACCTTTTAAAGGGTGCAGGATTGAACCCCTAAAGGTGCTGCTATTGCAGCGGTTTGCACCCCTAATGGAGTAAAAACATGTACTTAACTTAGTACATGTTTTTACTCAATATTGATTGAGCAACTAAGCGTTACCCAGAAAACAAAAAAATCGCTCAAACAATTTGAGTCAAAACATGTACTCGTTAATTGAGTAAAATTTGGCTCAACTCGTTTACGTTTCTACCCAGTACTGAGTAAAAAAGGAAACCGCTAAACAAAGAGTAAATATTGAGTAAAGGTTGACTCATTCAAACTGAGTAGAGATTTAGTCTTTTATTGAGTAATATTTTTACTCAACAGATGGGTAGATTTGTTACTCAACACATGCTGAGTAAAGTTTACTCAAAAGTCGGGTGGTTTCCTTTTGACCACCCAAAAGAGTAACATTTTGACTCAAATTGAGCAGTTTTTTTTAGAGTGTACAATTGATGTGTTTATGTACTTTGTTATTATGGGCCAAAGGTTCTAGTTCTCTTAATTTCATGAAATCTAAATAAAGCAAAATAACTTATTTTTAAAGAAACACAATAGTGAAGACTATTATTCTACTTTTCAACGCGTGAATGGACAGTAGCCCACATCATGAATAGCGATAACTATTCCATGCAAACAAGGACTGTCAAATAACATTGTCGCACTTCCTCTTCCCCTTTAAGCCGCAGGGTTAGATTTTGCAAAACCAGCATTCTAGAGTAATATGATTCATAAGGTGTTTCAGTATCGTCGTATAAACACATTGGATTTAATACGGATACCATAGGTGATCGTTTTTGTTGTGCTTTGGAGCTGTGCGTCATGTACATTGTAAAATGTGAAACGCTGTGATTTCGGAAGTTAGTTATTGATTACATTGGTTTCAAACTTGCGGCTGGATTTAACACCTTGTATCAACTGTTTTTAAAGATCGATCAGGTATTTATATTTTTGTAGTTGTATTTTTGTGTTGTATTATTCTTTCGTTTTAGCTCCTTTTTTATATGGCTAAAAACCATTTAAAATTTAGGTCTATTTCGTGAATTCGCCTAAATAACGACTTCTATTTTTTAACAGATTTAATTGTATGTACTTACTGCATAGATTTAATTGACAATTTTTCCTATTTTTCTCTATTATTATGTTAATTAATTTATTTATTTGTCTCTATTGAAATGTTTTGCTTTCCGTTGCTTCGGTATTCTGTGTTTGATTTCACTGTAATGTGTTGTTAAAGACTTGTAAGTTATCGGCAAAGTGTTCGGGAATTCAAGGCGAAACTCGGAGATGAATGTGCGCCAAGCTGCCGGGGTAGAAGAACCCGATGGTAGGGTCACACACAACCGCGATCTGGCGTTCATTAGAATTGTGGTCGGAGTATTGAAATATCTCGCACATTTATATTTTGATGCAAGTACAATATACAATATATTGTATTTAACATGCCTTATTTGATTTCCTCTTTCTACATTATTATTATTATTTATTTATTTATTATTATTATTTTTTTTTTTTTTGGGGGGGGGGGGTGGGGTTCCAATTTTTCAGGAAATATTTTGCGCCGACTCAGCCAGCCGCTGAATAAGCGGGGGGATGAAGCAATTTGTTAGGAAATATTAAGCGGTGGCTTAAAAAACAATAAAAAAAGTGGAAGGATTTACCATCATAACTACATGTACTTGAAAAATGTACTAAAATTATGATAAAATAGATTTCTTTTTATGTCTCACACAAAGTTTAACCCCTCTCTCTCTCTCTCCGTCCATCTCTCTATCTCTGTCTCTCTCTTCCATTCCAAGTTTTTTAATCTTCTGGCTCAATTCTTCTTCATTGATTTACTTTTCTCATTCCGCGTTCTACTTCTACAAACAAATATTCTTTTTTACCCCTCCTCCTCTTCCTCTTCCTTCTCGTGCATAATCTTTTTCATCATTATCTTCTTCTTCCTTTTCTTCTTGTTCTTCTTTTTCTTCCCCTTCTTTTCTTCTTCTTTTTCTTCTTTTACTTCTCCCCTTCTTTTCTTCTTCTTTTTCTTCTTTTACTTCTCCTCCTTCTTCTCCTTCTAACTTCTCCTCCTTCTCTCTTCTTCTTTTTCTTCTTTTACTTCTCCTCCTTCTTCTCCTTCCAACTTCTCCTCCTTCTCTCTTCTTCTTTTTCTTCTTTTACTTCTCCTCCTTCTTCTCCTTCTAACTTCTCCTCCTTCTCTCTTCTTCTTTTTCTTCTCCTAATTCTCCTCCTCTTTCTCTTCCTCTTTCTCCTCCTCTCCTGAATTTCTTCTTCTTCTTCTTCTTCTTCATCTTCTCCTTCTCCTGTCTTCTCCTTCTTTTTCTTCTTTTCTCCTCCATTTTTTCATCGTCTTCTTTTCTTTTTCTTTTTCTTCTTCTTCTTCTTATTCCTCTTCTTCTCCTCCTCTTTCTTCCACTCCTTTTTGTTCTTCTTGTTCTTGTTCATGTTCTTCATCTTTGTTGCCGTCGTTTTTTCCTTCCCTCCCCCTTCTAATTATTCCTCTTGTGCTTGTACTTTTTGTTCCATTTTGTCTTGTTCTTGCTCTCCTTTTCCTGTTTTCTTATTTTTACTAAAAAGAAAAAAAAATGGTTAACATAAATTTTAAATTCCATCTAAAATCTAGAATGGCGGATTTTGTGACAAACCGAGCTGAGATGAGTGCCCTGGTAAAGAAATTCCAATCATACGGAAATGACAGCATGGCTTACTCAAGAGATCACTTCGAAGTAAGAATTACTATCTTTTTTCATATAAATTTTTTCTTAAAAAAAAAAAATATCATTACGTACTGGCGTCACCTGTACCTGAATCACTGTAACCCTCATGTCTCTCCTGCCGGAATAATAGATTGGGGGTTGTGCAGTGGTCCCTATATACTCTTATACGAATACTGTGGTGGGTTCTTAACGTGCTAAGGTGGTGACTCTTCCCTACATGGGGCATCCATTTAACGTCCTATCCGAGGGACGAAGTGATTTCCACTGTAACACAGCCTGCGTCTATGAAACTGACACAACTCAGACTTCACTCATCCGCCTGGGTTGGATTCGAACCCACGATCTTTGGTTCAAGGCAGACACTTTACCTGAGCTAACGCGACTCCTCCTTTGCATACATTTTTTAAAATCGTATTTTTCTGTTTCTGAATATCTTAATTTGATGAATTACGATAAGAATTATCCGTCAGCGATGGTTCGGTGTTAAGAGAACCCTAGAACACTAAGTCCAAGTCAGCGTCATAAAAGACTTAGGTTACTACATGTATACTAATCATGATGTCCATAAAATCGGATGTGAGTAGCAGTATAAAAGAATAGTATGAACAATAAAGAAATATTCATATTAACATTTTATCATTTCATACATAATTCTAAAATATTTGCACTTTTTAGAATTGCATTATTTATGATAAAGAATTCAAACTGTAGGCTAGAAATGGAGATAAATGATCAAATTTTGTTAAAGGAAAGAAAGTTACAAGAAAAGTACCTTCATAAGAACGCAAAACTGTTTAAGAATATGTTAACCTAAAAATAAATATGAAAAATAGGTAGATAAAGATTACTTGGTTTAGTTACTTGCCTTCACTCCCTCATTAAAACAAGTATTTTTTTTTCAAGTAATTATGTTAAACAAGAGAGCTTATTCGCAGTATTAATGCTAATAAATATTGAAAACACCTTTTTTCATAACTTATGATTTTTTTTTAAAGAAAAATAAACGTGAAGAACGCTGTGAGTTACAGGGAGGTCGACTAAACTTCTTCGAGAGTGTCACACCTGATCACAATACGACTACCACTGTGGTGGAAATCGAGAAGAGAAGAGGAACTAACATACTCATTCTAAGATGTGGACCCGGTGGTCGTACGGTTATATTCTTGGAATTTGACTCCAAGTAAGTATTTCAGATTAATCTTCTTCTTTTTCCCCTTTTCTTCTCCTTCTTCTTCTTCTTCTTCTTTTTCTTCTTCTTCAACTTCTTCTTCTTCTTCTTCTTCTTCTTCTTCTTCTTCTTCTTCTTCTTCTTCCCCTTTTCTTCTTCTTCTTCTTCTTCTTCTTTAGTCTATGCATGATACCAACCTTTTCAAACAAAGTATTTGAAAAAGAAAATCTCAAAATCTAAACGCTAATAGAAATGAAAAATATTAATTTGTGCGGTCTCTTTAGTGGCATATGCATCACAAAGAAATAAAGATAAGCAATGTTTAACTTAAGCGGATTAACAAGGCTGTGTTTATTATATTGACATGTATTATGCCCACACAAGCTTTTATCAAGGGGGCTTCCCCAGGCACCTAGGAGAAATTGTTCACCTAAGCAACAATACAACGAAAGATAGTAAAAAAAAATTTAATAAAACAAGGTCTCACAATTTGAGAATCTTTCACTATATTTGAGAGAAAGGCCCAACTCTCATAAAAAGTATTTTATATGACTGACAAGTCAAAGCCGATCTAGATTCGTTGATCAATCAATATAATCATAGTGCTATAAAATGATGACATTTTATCTATACTTCTATAATGATTTACATGTATATTATAGAGCTCTTTGAGAACCCATTTGGAGTTGAACTTCACTATGAAAAAAAGCATTATTATTATTATTAAATCACCCCAAAAATATCATAATTTAGAAACGTAACTTGATAAGCTAACGGGGAATGTTGATTTTATGTGCATTGTTTTATTGTAGGAGATTAACAGACGAATGGCAGGAGGCACTCTGTCAATATACTGGGCAGACACATGTTCCTAACCCTGCCGTACGAAGAGTGAGGTCTGAGCTACCAGCTGTAGTGCGGAGGAGGAGATTGAAAAAAACTCGATCAACCTTTCCTGATGTCGTCGATGAACAGGTCAGTTTAAGCAGGGGTGGGGCCAGGATTTTGAACACAGAACGGGGAATGGGGCACAATTCAGAAAAGAAAATGTGTAAAAACCCAAAAAGGTATAGACTTATACATGGAATACTTCGCTCAAAAAATCTTTGGAAAGCAAAAAGGAATAAATGGTGAGCAGATTTTATAGTTTCCTTATGGGGTAGAAGCATTTTTCTTATCGTACTTAAGATTTACGATATTCTTTCTAAAGAAAGTAGGGGCATGCTGCGGACCAGTATTGCCCCCAACCCACCAGCGATGAATATTAAAATAGTAGGATTGCTCAATGAGCTAGTCCTCTTGACTCACAGGTCGTTTCATAATTAGTGAAGACCTACTTTTCAGCGCATCTGATGTCAATGTTCGCTAAATTCTTTCTATTCTGCAGGTCAGAACAAAATGACTATTAATAACAATTTAGAATTAATTAAAGTCAATTTTTCTTGATATTCATATTTTAGGTATACTTAAAAGTGTACGAGGGAGGCATAAAGCAAGAATAATGTACAATTTCTCAGTACGATATGAACATCGCCATTTTCTTGATAACGTGACGTAGTAAGCGAAGTCGTTTACCAAGTAAATGTATTCAAATTTATGGATGCTTCCTTCGCAGGTGTGTGTTGTGATGAAGCATTTAACACATGCTATTATCATTTGTATTACAATAATATTGTCAGAACGCAAATTGCATAAATAAGTTCGTGGTCATCTTGGATGAAGGTTTCTTATTTTTAAATAGGGACTTTTAGATTTGCACGACGAGAATGTGGACTGCCACATGTGACATCCTTTTAAGGCAATGTGACGTCCTTAGGCACTGCCGGGCACTGCCAGTGCCTTAAAAAGACGTCACATTGCCTTAAAAGGATGTCACACATAGCAGTTCACGTTCTCGTCGAGTAAATCTAAAAGTCCCTAATGAAATAGATTTGTCAACAGACACTGCTATATTTAAGCATTTTTAAATGAATTAGTTACAGTTGCTCCCCTGTTATACAGTTTTCACCAAATACAATTTCTATCTTCTCAGCTATGATTTTTCCTCTTTAGTTTGAAAAGTAAAGGTTTTGTTATTGAACTAAAAAGTATTTTCAACTAAAGCTTAGTGCATGGTACATGTAAAAGTTCAGCTGGTACGTCACATTTTCAAGAAAATGGCTGCGCCCATGTCATGCTAAAAGTAATCACATCATGCCAAGAATATCTTGATTTATATATCTCTTGTATATTTTCGTAAGGAATATTGTACATCAAATGACAGGAATACGTACATCTCATTTTTCAGAATACTTACACTTATTATTTGGGGAAAGGTTTCCTTTAAAACTAGATTGAAAAATTATCAAATGTGTTCACTTCGAATCAGGTTGATTCAGTTTCCTCTGAATCGGAATCGGATTCAGATTCTGAACAAGTTGAAGTTTCCTCGCAGTCGGAATCGGAATCTCCCCAAGAAGCTCCTCCAAATTCCAGCCATGACAGCTTGCTTAATGCTGATCTCAGGTTTGTAATTCTTATCAATATTCATTTAGTGGTCATGTAAATTTCATATTAAATTAATAAGTTTCTGGTACTGTTTCCGATAAATGCACAAAATAACAGTTCAACTCCATTTGATATGAAAACATATCGCACAGTGTATGTAGTACATAAATTTTAATAATAATTCATTATACATTTTCATTTTCATGCAAGTACAATGCAGAGTATATAATATAGTCCAGTATCAATGATCAATAATATATTTTTTGAGAAAACTGACATTATGTAGATATCTATAGTGCAGTATCTATATAAATACATATTACACACGTCACATTTGTTTTTGTTTTATAATCTTTTAACAGATTGTAAAAGCCTACATTTAACTCGCCTCCATCTGTTTGATACCCCTCTCTCTCTCTCTCTCTCTCTCTCCCTCTCTTTCTTGGTCCTCAGTGTATTCCACACCCTTGAATTGTCCTTGATCTTTATAATTGTCCATTTCATTTACCTCTCTCTCTCTCTCTCTCTCTTACAGGAACTCGGTACAGAAAATGTTCAACCTTTCAGATCTGCAACAACTCAAAGTCAAAGGCTGTGGAGGCGATGTTATGTAAGTAAGACCCATTCCATACTGTACCAGAGCAGTTCAAGTCCAAGGTTATCTTAATAAAACTAAATTCTATAAACACACGGAGTGGTTCTGGTTGTTGTTGTGTTTGTTATTGGTGTTTTTTGTTGTTGGTATTTTTAAAAATTATATTAAAAAAACGACATTATTCAAAAATATCATAATAACCTGTCATTCCTTTTTACTAGATCATTAATCATTGATAGTAATTACATAGCTAACTATGTCAGATATTTGTTATGTTGATTAAAAAGAACTTTCAAGATAGTTCTTTTTATTCACGGTAATAGTCCTGTTCGAAATCGACATTTGTACACTGAAACTATATTGAAAACAAGTATTTTGTTGATCTATTCTGAATATTATGGAAATCACTTACATGGACCATTAGAAAGATCATTTAAGAAAACGGAATGATATCATAATCATTAACACGGTTATCATGTAACCTTATAATTCAGTATTTTTACTCTCTCGTTTCTCAGAGTTATTCCGATATACTTAAAGCTTTACAGATATGATATTAGCGCGGCCGGCCATCGGTTTCAGGCAAACTATGCACCCAAGCAAATCCGGGCATTTCTAAAATGTTACCTCCCTTAAAGTTATTGTACACTCATTTCCATTTTGTTCATAATTTGACAAATGTTTCCGAATTGACAAAAAGTCCAATACGTTTACCTTTTGTAATATAGACCCATACTTTAGTTAATGCATTTTCTCTTTATAACCCCTGCATTCTAAACTAAATAATTCTCTTGCTATGCATTATGGTATCTCTGTAGATGTAATTTTACAGACATTCTATTTCTGGCAAGGCTCTGGCAAGCTTTTAAGCCCTCACGAGCACCGTTTGCTCAAGAAGTATGTATACAATATTAGTTAAAAGATCTAATCTGTAATAACTGAATTTCTTTTGGATTTAATATTGTGTTCGGTATACCTAATTAAGTTTTACACCTTTTAATTTTTTTATTTATGCTTATGATAATGAAGTGTGACGGAAGCAATTCCTCGTTGCCAGCTACGTGTTGGAGATAAAATAGTGTTTAGAAATGGCCGAGGTCTCCCGATGAACGCCCAGGAATTTACCGAGCACATCCAAACGGTTCGTAATATATTTTCAACATTCGTCATAATGTTATGTTTAAATCTTAAACCACTTGTTCTTTCTTTGTGCATGTTATCCTCTTCTTCTCCTTCTTTCTCCTCCTCCTCCTCATTTTCCTCCTCCTTCTTCTCCTTTCCTGGCTTCTGATGTAGAGGAACATGTAGAGAAATTGCTTTATTCAAATTTGATGATGACGCAATAATGTTAATTCTATATAGAAGCAGAAATATTAAAGATCAGATTTTATTCTAGTTCATATTATGCCAAATGTATCATTTATCGAAAAAACACTTTCTTGTAAACTTCGTCCAAAATGAAGAAGAACAAAAAATCACTAACCCTTTCCCTAGCCCTAACCCCATTTCTCAAATAAACCAGTCCTTTTTTTCTCTCTTTTTTTTTAAACGCGATTTTTTTTTTTCTTTCTTGCTGATGACTTAATGCTCTTCATAATCTACTGACAATTTCATATATCTTACAAGTATACCTATATCATTATAATGACATATAATCTTGTATATTTCCTTCTCAAATATTTAGATAGTTCTTACTATTGTACGAGGCGCTGTATGTACTGAAAGAGAGAAAGAAAATGAACTGACCATCAATATCAAAGGATCCCAGGTATGTATATATCATACTTGAAACTATTAGACGTTACTTCGTACCATAAATGAATAAACATAAGTTGATAAGTCGATATACAGATCCATAAACAGGCGTAAATCCAGTCATTGGATAAATATGGTATTTTGTATGTTTATACATCTACTTTATAATGTAATTCCAATAACACTTCTTTAATTAATGTATATATAACACTCATTAATGTGTAGTAATTATATTTTACTTTTTATTCGTGATCGTCTTTTCTTTCCACTACTGAGAAGATCAACATCGAGGAGAGGCATGAATAATTAAAACCTTATCGTGCTTATCAGAAATGAATTTGCTTATAAACGCCTCATTCAAGCTGCTATACTGTTGCTAATTAAGCCGGAATAATGTTTTATTTCCTCTTACCATGAAATAATTGTGACAATATAATTAATATTTCATATCTTCTGAGGATTGTATTGATCAATCTCAATGACTCTTTAGATACTCCTAGAATCTACTCCTAGAAGAAAAAAGAATCTAAGGAAATAGATATACTTACTCTGTGTAAAATAGCAACGAATAACAAATAGAACCCCCATATTATTCTTAATAGATTTTAGAACCAATGAACTCCGGTGAAGTTCCCAATAGTCCAGACGGTGAGCTCGAACCACCATTAAAGATAAACTTTAGTAATGGTAATGCGATTGCATTGTGAAATAAAAGGTGTGGAAAGGATCAGAAACAGTTGATCATGTAGCATGTGAGTATTGGTGTGCACTGCAAGGTTCTAGAGTCATCAAAATCATAATAAATTTACCGAGTCTTGGTAAAGTAACACGCACTGTACACAGAAAGCTATATATGGGACAACACGCATGGTGTCGGGGCTAGTACTACCTTGATTTCCTTGTCTTTCTATGCTCATTACTCCGCCAGTATACATTTTCTTCCAAAATTGTTTGGCACATGACATTTATTTGTAAACTTGAACATTCGGTGTAAGTTTCGTTTGATTCTGTGAGAATTCATTTTCTTTTTTTTTGACCAGAACTCAAGTTTATCTTTAAGCGGTACGGCCTCCGGGAGCGAGTCGCCTAGTAGCTTGAACGATGATAGCGGGTCGGATATCTCGCCATTCAGCAGTTTGAAATCAACTTGGTAAAAATACAAACTTTGTTCAACGAGCATTTAGGATATGCGATTTTGAACTCACTGTTCTCACATTCTGCATGTAATCGTTTTGTTTTTAATCGTCATTTATTAGATAGGATACGCAGGCTATTATGGATAATACATGCACCATTAGGAGCAATAAGACAAATTAACTGTTTGGAATATTGGGAAAATTTTGGAATTTCGAAACAGATACTTATGAAATTCATGCAAACGACTCTGAGTGCAGCATGATTCGACCACTATTCAAAATATTTTAATCCCAACGAATTTTCATGTAATCGTGTTAATCTATCAATCCAACTATCTGTATACCTATATATCTGTATATGTTCGTCTCTTTCTCTCTCTCTTTCTCTATCTCTCTCTCCACCTACCTATCTATCTACATGTTTATCTATGATATCTGTGATGTCTACCTATATACATGTATCTCTATATCTTTCTCTCTCTCTCTTTTTCTCTCTCTCTATTTCTCTCTCTCTCTCTCCACATATCTATCTACCTATCCATCTTTGTCTCTCTGTCTCTGTCTGTCTCTCTCTCTCTCTCTCCCTCACTCACCCATTCCTTCATAGTCTTGTAATTATTTTAAATCATAGTCACGTTAAGGCGTATAATCTGCATTGACCAAGTATATTTTATAATTCGTTATGCTTTAATTTTCTCTTTTCATTAGTTCTATGACTGACATATTTTATGACTGCCCTAAAGATCTTTTGAATCAACATCAATTCAAGGAATATAAACGCGAGATCGTGTAAGTAATAATTTTCTTCATTCGATCTTTGTTTCTAAATGCAAATATATCTATTCACCATTTTATGTTCTTACCGCAACTTGAGTTTAAAATTATCTCTTTTTGACGTTCCTGGCACGAGCTTCGCTTTGAAGGTTTTCAATATATATATATATATATATATATATATATTATGTTGAAAGATTTGGAGCATAATTATGTTCCACAGCAAACTGCACTAATATTTTTTAAATCAATAATTCAATGTAAGTTTGATTACTGTAGTTTAATTTGGGGAATGCCGGGAAAGGAAGTTTAGAAAGTTTGCAAAAATTGCAGAATAGGGCAATTCGGTGCTATTCCAAGTTGAATGTAGGTTTCATAGCCGCGATTTATTTCTTTGTTTAAAAACAGAAAATCTATCAGAACAGAGAAATAAACATTTGTTATGTATTTTGAATAAACAATTTCAAGAGATGATATATCTGGTAGGTTTAGAAAGTGTTTAGTTATAAAAAGTAATATTACTTTAGCTTGAGAAATGCACATAAAGCCATAAGAACTGCCATAAACACATATGAATTTCAAGAAAAGGAGCTTATGTTAAAAAGGTATTCAATCTTGGAATCAGTAACCTATGAATGTACACATTTATGTCTTTCTCTGTATTCAAATCACGGGTGAAATAAATATTAATTTTGTGAAATGCAATTTTTTTAGTTTTACGATATTTTAAATAGTAGATCGTATTTATATTTCGTACGCTTAAATAAGTATTTATATATTAAACTAAATCATGTGTCTTTCTTTGTATTGAAAACACGGGCAATGTAAATAGTAACTTCATGAATTTTTTTTTTACTATTTGAGCTTTACAATATTGTAAATAGAAGATAATATTTATATTTCGACGCTTAAATATAAAGTTTTAAAAGAAAAACGTTGATTAGAAAGAATGATTGCTGATGGGGGGGGGGGGGGGGGGGGGGGGGGTGGGTGGTAGTATCTTGGTTTTTTTATTTTCATTTTTCTTCTTTATGCTTATGTTCTTTGTTAGTTTTTGATATTTGTGTGTTATGATATGCGTTATCTTATAATTGTACATGTACATTTATTGTGCACGGCCTGCGGTAGAAAAGACTTTTTTGTCCATGTCCATTTGACGGTTTTGCTTAAAACTGTTTTTTTTTTTTTTTAAATATTTTGCTTGCATAGTTCGACTTTTGTATAATTCATTCCTGCTCTATATTTCTTTCATCAAAGTAAATATCACAATTGGCGTGTTTTGTATAAAAAGGGAAATTTTCAAAAAAAATGGTAAACTGAGTTTTCTATAGAAATCCATGCCTTTGTGGCAATTTTGTTCGAAATTTGGAGCAATAGTTCCTCTTTTTTAGAATAATGACCTTATTTTCATTTTTTTTTCTTTTGCGAGATTCAATGGCTAATCTTGTTATTGTTGCAATACTGATGTGAACAATTTCGTAAACATTACCTCATATACATGTATCTAACTTGACATTCAAGATTTTTTTTCGTCTTGACTTATTTGTGGGTGATATCAATCATTACGATTCAGTTTTTAAATTCTCCTTATAATTGGAATGTTGCATTTCTATGCTAGACACTTTTTTTCTTCACTCATTAAATATTTGTAGCTTTTATCTCTTTTGTAATCTAGAGGGAAATTCCTCCTCCCCCCCCCCCGAAAAAAAAAAGAAAGAAGGGGGAATGCGGCAAAAATGAATTCAGAGGAAAAACAAGGATACTTGATCATTTTGATAAATTATCACATCGAATTTATATTTGATCAGAATTTTTTTTCCACTTTTGATCTTTTTTAAATTTCTTTATGGTATTTATTTGGCGAAGGAAAAAAGGGATTCATTATTATTATTGGTTATGCGATATCGAGTTAATTGCTTGACTACCTAGGATAAGAATTAAAACAAAGCTCAGGAATGAGAGGGGGGTGGTTAAGAATTTCCGGAATATACCGACTTTATCCCTTTTTTGGTTTAGTCTCGTTCTAAAGGGCAGTCCCCTCCCCCTTGCTTCTAATCTGGATACGCTTTTCATCGCTTCCATCGTTTTCGTCCAGCCATTATTTACACAACATGGATTCTTTGGTATTTTCAAAAAGGGAATCTTATTTCATTTTCTCTCAGTGTGACCCAATCGGTGCCCGATAGCAAATTGCACCCTGGAGACACCATCGCCTTGAGAACTGGTGAGGGGACTACTGGTGAAGGGACTACTTTCAAGGACGCTGAACAATTCAGAGAGTACATCAAAAAAACTGTAGCACCAACGGTTTGTAGAACTTTTCACTATGCGATGAAATCTTGAAATTGATCATTCGTGTTGTAATTGTTAATCTCTTTGTAACATAATAATATAGTAAACTCATATGCAATTTCAATACCCTTCAATACTGCCGTTGAGATATTGTTTTATTAAAATAAATAGTTGATATGTTAGGCTATTTAAATGGCCCATGTGTGATTGTTTATAGTCTTTACCATACAGTTGTGTTTTTGTCTATTTATTCCTCATAGTAACACTGTTTCACAAGAGTATACTTATAGTATATTTTTTTCTTCATGTATCAGATAATGTTGGCTGTTACACCAGGTGTCGGAATCACGATGAAAGATGGAGACCAAAAACTGACCATCGATATTACAGGACAAAAGGTATTATCAATAGTCTTCTTTTACATACTTATTGTTTGGTTCATAGTAGGCCTATTCATAACTATTCTGTCTTTGTAAATAGGTCTGCTTATCATTGCCGTCCATATTGTCTGTATCATGATGATTGCTTATGTTGCTGCGATGTCACATGATTGTGAAGTTCCATTTACCCTGGGCTTTTTTGGTTTGTTTGTGATTATTTTCTAGAGTCAGTCAATTTGTTACTCGTATTTACTGTATAATCATCCTATCCTATCAACTCCTAGAAAGCTTCTTTCACAATGCAATCACGTGACCGGAACCTCATTTAGGCTGGCGGGCACAGCCACCCTCTCCCTTTCGAAACCCCAACCCCCAAAATGCCCTTCTCTTCTAAGGTGAAGCCCCTTTCTGGCAAGGAATTTTAGGATTAAAAAAGAAGAAGGGGGGAGCTGAAAAAATGATATCCTCTTTATAGTTTGGCATCAAATTTTTCGTGTTTCGCCCACTTTTTTGCAAAAATCCCTGATCCACCCCTGTCCATAACCACCATCTATGTAATCATAAATTACACTGTTATTGTATTTTTTTGTTCACCACTGAAATCAGACACAGAGACCTGACGCAATGGAAGCTGTCTTGAAAGCCTGCATTCAGAAGCTTGCTATCGCAGAGATCAACGGCGCACCAATACCAGTAGGAACCCAGGAACACCAGGTAATTTTTAATATTTTTTATCACCTCTATTTCATCAATCGAAAATCTATAAAATACAGTAACATATTGAGCCAGGGGCGTCAATCTATTGCACGATTGATTTGGGGTGAAGTGGCAAAACTGGCAAATAATTATTCGTTATAATACATAAGATGGTTCTTATCAATCTGTTTCAGGGCCTTTTTTTAAAACTCTAAACCCTGAAAGTTTATTAAAAGGACATAAACTATCATGCATTGTCCATCCATCCCTCATTTTAAAAAGATTTGTTGAATAAGCATGTATATTCGTGAAATTCAATTGTTTTTGATAGTCATGTAATTTTTTTTCTTCAGATGATTAGCGTAGAAAATTCAAGAAACACTATTGGGTTGGTTTAATGGGTGTAAAGGCATCATTTTAATTTACTAATGCATGTACATTAGCATTACAGACCTTGTCAACAATATACACTAACTAAATGCACAGGTGCGTAAGAGGAAGTATATTAACATTAGATGTATTTCATCATACATTTTACAAATATAGAATGATGATGTCAGCTCTACTGACTTTTTGTTGATCAAAGATTGGAAACGCGCAGTAGAATTTTCTAAAAGATTAACAGTCAACACAATTCATTGTTACATGCTATATGAAAGGGAAGTCATCGAGAGAAATTCATTTTGCTTTGAGCGCGATCACTCACCAGTGAAAACCACACACTTAAATCAACAGGTGTGAATCAAATTTGGGCTTTATAATTATGGAATCATTGCCGCATATTTCTTTTTATAGATATATATGCCATGACATATTTTGACTTTAATTACTGTTAATACTTTTTGTGTGACTGGTCTATTGGTAGGTTGCGCAGATATTGGGAGAGGCCCTGAGAGGAGATTCAACTGAATGTCACCTTCACCTCATTCCGAGGTCGTTGATGAGGGCCGAATCCGATGACCAAGAGACCAGGCCTATTAATGTCGAAGATAGTTCTAGTGTCTCTGGCAACACAAATACCACTGATCATGAGGAAACGGAGTGCTGACATTATAACTATCATCAGCTGCATCACAAGGCAAAGACAATAGTTTGCTATTTTTGTTAATTCAAATTATTATCCAAAATGTGGGAATTTGACAGTCCCCTCCACAAGTGAATGAAAAGAATAACCACAAAACACAATCCTGAGTTATTATTAACCAATAATTAACCAACTGGATTTCCATTGTGGTGGCAAGAAGATTGGGACAATTAGAAATTATTTCTATGGCACGTCAAAAAAAAAAAAACCTGTTTGATAGCTTCCGTGTCGTCTAAGTGCAGGACACCTTTCTCAGACGTGTACTAGAAGATTTAATTTAGTTGCCAATAGACACTGAAAGTTGTCTGTAGGGAAATAAATGCAATACGTTTCATAAAACTCATTATGATAATTGATATCATCCTGATGAAATTGTATTGTAAGAGTGTGATGACTTCTTTCTCAGAAGGAATAAATAATTATCTCTGAAATCATGCATGTGGTTAGAATTTTTGAAGATGCATGTGATGCATCGAAACAAAAATATATATGGCTGAAAAACGAAAGCCCATATAACTCTTTATTCATAACATGACTGAGTAGAATTTTTACCATGTATTTATATTTGAAAAAATAATTTTGTTTTTTTGATCAAATATGAACCTTGATCGACCTCTAGATACGGAAGACTGAAGGGGAATCCCCATGAGATAATGACGTCATGGTGGGACTTGTTAATTCTTGTAAAAATTGATTGATTTTTTTTTTCAACTCTCAGTTTTGTAAATACAGTCAAACCTGTCTATAGCGACCGCCCAGGGAAGCACTAAAAAATGGTCTTTGTAGAAAGTTCCTTTAGTACATGTTTAGATGAGAAACCATTTTCAGGGAAACAAAAAATGTAGACAGGTGGTCACTAAAGCAGGTTCGACTGTACGAATAAATTACATCGTTAGGAATTTGACTTTGAAATCATTCACCATAGTTTTCACTTTGTTTCATCATTCCACTGGTTATGAAGGATGAAGGAATAATATGTATGACCCATGATGTCATTGTGGTGTAATTGTATTCTTACATTTAAGTGCCCGTCCTTATTCAAATCATTTTGTTACTCTCTATGCAACTGATTAAAAAAAATAGGTGTTTTAAATCATTATTCGAATCCTAGTTGTGTCAGCGGGTCTGACATTTATATATATTTTATTACTTCTAGGAATTCTGTTCGCTTTTGTTATTTTTAATTTTTAATTTATTTATTTATGTTTTCCTTTCCGGTTTAGTGATACATTATTCCCACCTGTTTAAAGTTTCAAAATGAGGAAATGAATATCCATTTTAAAAATATATATTTGTCTGCACTCCTCAGGCTTCTTTACTGGATGAAGTCAAAATAATAAAGATTCAAACATAAAGTTACATTACGTTTCTTGTTGTTGTTGTTGTTTTGGTTTATAGGCGTTTATCATTCAGAAGTATATTCAGAAGTATAATAGTTACCAGTCTCATTTTGTACAGAAATAACAATTTATTTCACTGCTACTCAATAACAAATTTTCTATACATACCAGACAATTTATGCTATATCATAATGATACGTGTACTACATCAATAGATCTGGCGGTAATTTTAAAGGTAGAATAGAGGCAATTTTTCTAAGATATTTCGCACTTTTTAAATTAGTTCACCATTAGTTAGTTATTTCTTTTAGCATGAAATGGAGAAGAAAAAAGAAGAAAATCAGCAACGGCATTATTGTTCAGGTTCATGGTCTAACTCTTACCTCTTTAGATCAGCAACATGTAACTGGAAATTGATTTATGATAACGAGTATTATTGTTCTTGGTATATTGGTATACTACAAATTGTGATTTTGTTACATTAAATATTTGTATATTGTTCTATTCATGTAAAATTATTCGATCATTATCATTCTTTTGTGTCTGTCAGAATTACTGGAAGTTGTCCATGAATACAGGGACTTTTTGTGATATGAGCTATAGTATTATTATTATTATGATGATGTAAATTATTTTTATTATTATTATTATTATTATTATTAGTATTAGTATTATTATAAATCTTGCAAACTCCTGCATGGCCTTTCAGACATCTCGAATAATAGAAAGGTTGTTTTGTCTAGCCACGTTTATATTATAGCCTTTTTTGCCCTTTTGCCAAAACAGCAAAAAAAAAAACCAAAAAAAAAATCAACTTTGGCACAAAAATCCTACGGGATTACATACCATACCGCACTATTATATATCGTGACCAGATTTACTTTCGTTTTATATCATTCATTGATACATGATTAAGGCCCGATCGGGAAAACAAATAAGATGCAAATAAATGATATGATGAAATATAAACATTATATTCTAGTGCTTCCCCCTGTCAAAAACCGGAACTATAGTATACGATTTGTGTGAAAATATGCCTTTGTTTGCAATGTATTCAACGGGTTCAAAGTCTGGAGAGAACAAAAACTTGTAAACTTTGACTTTTGTTCACCATCTCACCATGCTATCCCTTGATACTTTAGTCACACCAGTGAGACCGACATCGGACCGACAGCACACCAAACAAGAATTTACGTTGAAAGACAATAGTCGTTCTGGAATCGGTTTGGCGGTGTGACTGAGGTATGAGTGGTGGGTGAAATCACAACCAAACATAATGTAAAGAACAAACAGAATGATCGAGGGAATATGCAAGGGGGTTTCCCTTTGACTTCTTTGGAAAGGGGGGGGGGGGGGAGGAGAGTAAATACGCATATGCTAGAGTCATTGTCTAGTTATCACAATAGGCATATGACAAATGACTTTGCATGATTTTCTTCAGTTAAAGACCAGAGGCATTGTTTGAGGCAAAAGAGTAAACCTGCCTGCCGAGGAATGTGGGTAGCGCCGTTGAGAGTTTGGACAACTCAATGTTGGAATATTGCTTTGTTTGGAAAGCAAAACAAAAAAGTACGCCATGTTGTGAACAACTGAAACCCAGTTGTAGAAACTGTAATGGCTCTGGATGTGGTATGATCTCTCTCACCATGCTGTTCGTGAAAATGTCAGAATTCGCGAACCTTTCATCAACACAGATCCATAGAATTTGCTGATAAGTGGAAGGATGGAACATGTTTTTACCCCAATCGCTAATTTAATCCAGATAATTGGGAGGGGGGATCACTAATGTATAGTCTCTCAGAGATGGAGGTAATGACATTTTAGGCGGTTATATCCCCGAAACGAACAAACAAAACAAACAAACCAACAAGAAAATATAGAGAGTGGTAATAATGAACTATATAGAACTACATGCTTTTGATGGTACTAACATAATTTGCTGTCGATTTTCTCAACTTGAGAACATTTTGCTGTCCAGGGTGCAGTTGTCATCATCATATACCATTATTACTAATTCTTTCATCTCGCATTGTTGAACATGAAAGAAGAAAAAGGGGCAGGGAGATTTGTTTCCTCAGATCAAATCCCGCCCCCCCCCCCACTCAATGTTATTTAGGGTACGCATATGCTCGTTCCCTCTTTTTGAAAGCACCCCCCTATCTGAGGACTGCCAATATTTCCGAACCCCCCTTTCGCGGGCATTTTGCGGGCTTTTCTTGCCCTGGAGACCCCCCTAAATCAGGAAAAATGCTCAATGTACCCCCCTAAATTCGGAATAATTTCTCAGGAGTCCAAGAGATGAGAGAAAAAAAAGAAAAAACACACCCTTTTTTAAAGAAATCTCCAGGTGAAAAGTCAATACACACCCCCTTTTTTTTACAATTCTCGGGCCGGACTTTGTCGCACGAAAAGTACCCCTTATCGGACATTTTGGCAACACGCATGCGGTCATTCCGACCTCTGAGTGGGGGGGGGGGGGGGGGCCGGGGATCAAATAATAAAGGTTTACTCTTCGTAAGGTATTTACCCAAACGTTGTCATTATTTCCTCCCCTCCCTCCCTCTTACCTCCAAGGAATACAGGTAATACTCAACTTGAACGTTATATGGAAACTATCAAACAGCCCTAATTGTTTTACCTCACCATCTTACACCCTGTGCATTGTAGCCCATTTTACCCAACTGTAATTTTTACAGTGCACATTATGATGATTATCATCCTAATATTAAATTTTTAAAAAAAATTGCAACATTGTTCACGCCTTGACAGCTTAGCAAAACAGCATTAAATGGTTTCATTCATACAGGGGGTGATTTTCCTGGTTGTCATTTTAGCACCCCTCCCCCTTTCCCCTCCCTCCTCTATCTCTATCTCTCTCTTTCTTTTCTCTCTCTCTCCTCTCTCTTTCCTCCCTCTATTATCTCTTTGTGTCCCATGCGGTGATTGACTAAGCCCTGATGGTAGGCCAGTTCTAACTTCAACATTGAAAAGTTCAAGCTAGAACTGCCTCGTGAAAATCAAACTTTAATTTTTTTTTTAAATATAATTATCTTCCTTCTATAAACCATTCCAGGGAGCCTTCAGAAAACTTGACAGAGTCCAATGAATATTCTAAACCTGCGAAATACTATCACCATTTCATCATTTATTCCTTAGTATATTCCCATCATGCTTTATTTATTGTGCAAATCATTATAGAATTTGTATAAAAGGAAAAACAATATAATTATATACATGTATTTGCTCCCATCCATTATACCCATTATTTATGTGGTATTAGTACCTACCATAAACCACTTTGGCCAATGCGAACCATTTGCAAACGATTAGATCGGAAGAATATATGCCCATCTCAACTTAGATAAGAACTGTCAAAAAATCCTGATTTCGTTGATTTCGCAATAGTAAATCTCATTTTTGTTCGTCTCTCTGTCCCGTCTCTCTCTCCAATGATTTCTAAATTGCGCAATCTTCTTTTGGAATATCCCTTTTTATCTTTAAAATGATTACTCATTGAAAACTGATTTTCTCGATTCTTCTCAGAGAATGCGTTACACTGCTGACTCTAAACTCAGATGATAATAAATTCAAAAGCATTATTTTAAAACCTACGTACGAAGTGTGGTATAGACAAACACAGACCTTGGCTTCCGCGAAACTAACGTGTCATGATATCATGTGTCATTTGATGTATCTAGAGGAAACGTCCATCCCTCCTCTTCTTTCTCTCTCCAATGATTTCCAAAATTGCGCAATCATATTTTGGAAATCCCTTTTTATTTAAATGATTGCTCATTGATCACTGATTTTCTCTATTCTTCTTCTCAGATGAGAATGCATTCCATTGCTGCCTCTAAATTCAGATGATAATAATTCATAAGCATCTTTGACAATATTTGAGTCAGGTCGAATGCTGTTTATTTAGTGTGATTTCCAAACCTATATACCGGCACTCCAGTACGTAGTGTTGGTATACAAACACAGACCTTGTCCTTCCGCGAAACTGACGTATCATGATATCATGTGTCATATTTGCTGTATCTAGAGGAAACGAATGTATGTAAAAAAAAAAAAAAAAAAAAAAGAGAAAAAAAAGTCATGACCGGATTCAAGAGTTGATCATTCAGATCTACATAGATTTGTTATATCCAGGGGTTTCAGGGGATGCTTCCCTCCCCACCAAACAGAATCTGGTATATGTTTAATATGTGTACATAGTTTTGGTAAAACAAGGAATATGCCCCCCCCCTCCCATGTTTTTGACCCAGCGGAAATCAGACCCCAAGAAGCACCTGACAATGAGGAAACAATCTTTGATATCTTATTTTTGGGGTGAGGAGAATTAATTTTGAAGTAAAAGAAAAAAATAAAGAAATGTGATGACCATAACTT